TCACTAACAGCGAAAAGTGCTGCAGTCGTCCGACAGCCACAGATTTGTGACCATTTCTGACCATTAAGAGGCGAGGATGTGACCTCAGGGAAGAGCTGTTGTTTTTAAAAACGCCTTGTTATTTATTCATAGCGCTGAAAGCATTTGTGGTCCAAGCCTGAATATATTTGTTAGGCGGGGTTTGATAAATTAGCAGCAGCGTTTGCCAGAATCATTAAATACATCTCCATGTACATTTGAAAATGTTTTTCTTGGCCGGTGTTTGTGTGCTGACAGAGGGTGTTTATATCTGCAGGTGCCCTCTGATGCTATAATAATTCATCCACCATATGTGCAGATGAGATAGCACAACATGGATGGATTTCACAAGTAAAGAGTTTAAAGCTTTTCATACCATTGCTGTAAGAAGTGAAAGGATAATTTTCTATAAATATATAAAATCTGTCTTTATTGATCAGCTTAGATGAGTTTACAAAAAGCAAATCCACTTCTTTGGCATGTATCCAGATGCACACATGCACACCCAGAAACGGACATAAAAATTAAAGCTATTTATCTCGACAGGAGCGAAGTCAGTTATCCAAGAATACTGAGCGCTGTGAGCAGCAATTACTCTGTCAGTGGTTGAATTTTAATTACATTTTAGCACTGTGCCCGGTATTGTCTCATGTGTGTAAGTGTAATTGTGTCTGCGTGTGTCCTTATCTTACAGTAGCACACTGTAGCACAATGACCACAGTTCCCCAACACCTGCTGTTGCGTTAGAGCAGGGAGCCAAAAAACCAGAGAGAGACACACACAGAGTGTGATCACAGTAAAAGGCTTAATGCTTTCATCTTAAAATGAATATCCTCTGTCTTTTAAATGCATGACCACAGACAGCCAGCCAAAGACTGGAAACAAGATGAAACAGTTAGCCTCGCTCTGTCCGAAGGTAGCAAAATCCACCTATCAGCATTTCTAAAGCTTAAGGAAAAAGAAGCTCAAAATTTTTTTGCTTTAGAGTTCTTTAATCTCTCCCACCTACTGCAGCCCTCTTCTTCCTCAACTCTATTCTTTTGATATGTACAATAAGGCACGATTCGTGCTGCACTTTTTCTGTAATTTTGTTCCATTTTCTTGGGTCACTCTGGCCAAAAAAAAAAAGGAAATTTTGCCACCAGCACCAGGAGCAGCTCCATGAGCAATCACGGTCCACTACTTTAATTTCAAGGTTTCCATTACTTGAGTGCCAAAGGTGACTGAACTCTACGTGGCTTTTACCAGGTAATGAGCTAAGAGCAAAGTTTGGAGGTGAGCAAGAATAGGAGTTCAGAAAGTAAAAGGTTGGATTTTAGTGTATAGGTAGAGACCAGGTAAAGAGGAGTGAGACAGGAGGAGGTGTAAATAGGAGAGAAAAGAAAGTATACCTCAGCTGAAGAGAGCTCATATTTTCCCTTGCTGTCCTTGATCCTGCCCAGAGGCTCTAGAGGGAGAAAGAGAGAGATAAAAAGAAATTATTCATGGCCACTCTAACCAAGGCAAGGGCCACTTCTCCCTTCTAGTCATTAGAGCGAGATTTCCAAAGACAACAATGAAAAGCAGCCCCTCATTCATCAGCTGCAGCTTTCAGGTAGCCAGCAGACGGCGAGCCGGATACAATGCCTGGCAGGGAGCACAATGGCCGGGCTGTTTACACAACATGTCCAAACCCAAATTAGTCAAAGAGGGAAACAGAAAACATGGTGCTTAATGGCAATACACTGTTGCTAGTCATCAGTATGATGGGAGGGATGTTCAGAGGTCCTCTTGAGTGGGCACTCTGCCTTGATGTTTTTCATCCGGCGTGGAGATTTATGTCAGCTCTTCAACCATCTCTCATGTTTCAACTACAACAGGAATATTTTGATATGTACAACAATCTCCTTTATCCTTCTTTAGCTGCCTCAGTGTTGGAATTCTGGATTTCACGTCATAGACTGGACAAAAGAATCTCTCAGGTTTTCTTTGTATTTTAAATGAATAACACGCTTTTGTAAACTGGTTATCATGGGTTGATTTGGTCATGAAATATGTTCGGCATATGATGGCATGTTTTTAAATTAAAATGAGTGCAAAAGCAGCCAGTGTCCAAAGAAAACCCTTTTCAGAAAGCCTGGAAAACTACTGTACAGGACCACTTAATCCAAAATTACAGGAAAGTCTGACTGCTTAGAAGTAAAATATAAAGAAGTGAGGAGTGAGTAAAGACTTCTGCAGTATACATAAGTATATATCTGTTGATCCAGTTGTTTAAACTTGCATTAATTGAATTTGAGACAATACAAAGAGACAACACAGCATTCTGTTATATTGCATTAATGATGTCTTATTTACACATTCAGTTACATTACTGCTAAATGTAAGTGTTTGGTCTCTTTTTAAATCATGGGGAAAATATGTGTCCTTTCAGCTGCTGACTGCTCCACTGAGCTCAGCACTAGCAGGCTGTGCAGATGAAACAATTAGATAACAGACAAGGAAAAGCTCCATGAAGAACTTAACTTTCTGTGTGTACATTACTCGAAGCAGCCAGCTTTAACCAGTGACACTTTTTTTATGAATCACATTATTCCTTGTTGTTTTATGCACAAATTTTGACAGACTTACTTGAACGTGAGGACCCAAAAACAGGTTGCAGGAGTCAAGATAATAAATCTAAAAAAACAGTTTGATGTCAGCAGAAAAGTGCACAGCCGGTGAAGACAAGAAGATAAACAGACCGTAACTAGGACCCGGAAATTACACATTGACAAACACAGATGAGGAAACAAAGGAGGCATTATGAGAAACTGGACATATTGAATTCCTGGAAAAAAAATGCAACACAAAAATTTCTCCAGAAAAGGAGAAGCTTTGCATTCATAGTAGAAGTTGTGCCTCAGTGCTGCAGCCATGTTTTAAAAGGCACAATTTTAATTGTGGAGATAAAATGGTTTGTGTTGCACTTTTTCACAGTTTCACTACAGCTTGGATAGCATAGCTGGACAGTTTCTGTGGACAAGCCTGTCACTTCCATGAAAACTACAGGCAACTGCAGCAATCTGCGAGTGAAATACGCATGGGAATTCATGTGGAATACACATTTTTCACTAGGAACAGGTTATCCTTGAAATTTTTGCATATCCACTATATGGACTTCAACATACTTATAGGTTACACTGCACTATTCTGACCCGGGCAACTTATTTTTGTTGTAATGTTGATGTATAGACTGTATGATAATAAAAGTCTATCTATCTCTGTGGGTTTCTAGGGGGAAATGGGGGTCATTAACTGGTCTCTAGGCCTGTGTAACTGGAGCTTTAGCATTAGTTTTCCTGGTAATCTTCATCCATCTCCAGCAACCACTTCCAACATGTTGGTGAGCTTTTATTTTTCCCTTACGACCAGATGGTCAAGGATCTGTGTCTAAACCTGTGTAAACAGGACCTTTTTCACTTGATCTTAAATTGTCACCATGATTGTCCCGTACAAAGTGCCTGTCAAGTTAATGTCACATGGTAAGCGGTCACATATCTACAATAGCACGCTTGTGTGCGCTCCCCGTTTAGTGCTCTGGACTTTTGGCTTTCAGTTACCGGTAGTTTCCTGGTGAAAATCTGTTTTTTTGGACTTTGACATCCATTTGAGCAAAAGGTTTATTTTCAGTTACTCTGTCTGCTCTTGATGCCCTTTGTCCTGCAAAACATGACACCAAAACTCAAATGTCTGATGAAATCCAAAGTCCAAGTAGCTCTCCTGTTTTTTTCTCTTAGCAACAATCCAAAATCCCGCAGTATAAGCTCGCACGTAGGATGAAAAGAAGCAACAAATATTCACATCTCTTAAACTGGAACCAGCTCATTCTTTGCCTCTTTTGATGTGCTGATTACCATATCAGCTGCAAGAAGAGCTCAAAATGTGGGCAGGCTCGTGTGTTTGTGTGTGACTAAATACAGGTCCCCCATCTATTATGCCTGGTCTGTTACTGTGTCATTGCAGTGGAAAAACTATGCCAGACTCCAACAGCTGTGCTGTCAGAAACTCACAGCCATCCACATTTCAGCTGGGAATTCTCTGTCACAGCTCATTGCTCTCCTCTGATGGTCAGCAGATGGAAAAATTTGGCATTGTGATATAAGAAGTTTACTGGTATACATGAGCTCTGTTTTTTTTTTCCACTACACTATCACATTTCACTCCACTCCACTCCTTGCTTTATGTGGCTGGATGTAGAGTCACAAGTCAACAGCCCAGACGATCCTATTTTCCATTAGCTTAACACAGCTATCCTTGGTTGGAGCAGTGTGTGTGTGTGTGTGTGTGTGTGTTTGTGGGTGTGTATAGAGTCCTGCATGAGCCCTTGGCATTCCATCAGCGCGACATAAGTCACCATCAGGGCAGTATCAGTTTCCCCAGCACGTAAATAGTCCCATGAGCAGTTAGAAATTCTCGCTCCTGTGCTCGTCATTTTCGAAATGTATGGAAAATTGTTGCCGTGTGACAGTAGTTGCCCCCGACACCCAGTCTGTCAAGGTGGCCGAAAGTGACACTGTCACAGGCCCAAGTGGGTCAGTGAGTGATGAGTGAAGGATTGTGCGTGTTGACTGATGTGTCACAAGGGACCATGGGATGGGTTCGTGTAACTGTCTGTTGCCACTGTTACTATTGTTGTGCCAATTGGTCCTGACCTGACAGGAGGCCTTTATCACCGAGCTGCAGACGGCTCCTAATCCAGCAGCTTTCTTTTGCTATGGTGACTGCCCCCAGGTGTCAGGAGCGTGCAGGTGCTGTAATCCTGGTATTTTCTCTCCCGCATTTATTTTTATGGCTTCCATAAAATCAGACGATTGGGTCAGTTCCTGGACTTTCACCAAGAAGATTTTGTTTCCGTTAACTTTGGCCGCATCAGCATGCTGATTCAGATGTGTAAAATGTTAATTGCCTCCCTATATTTGATAAAGTCTCCTTTTTCTTTTTGGTCCTCCTTTGTTTTTCAGTACCGGATCGGCCAGCTGTATATGATCAGCAAACACAGTCATGAACAGAGTGAACGTGGAGAAGGTGTGGAGGTGGTGCAGAATGAGCCTTATGAGGACCCAGAGCACGGATCGGGCCAGTTCACGGAGAAACGGATCTACCTTAACAAGTGAGTGTAATTTCCCACCTACAGTGGGCTTGAAAAAACGAATAAATAAAAAAGTATTTGGACTATAAACCACTGAGCAAACATCTAAATCACTTTCATAAGGGCTTCTAACTTTAGCTTTATGTTACTTAAACATCCAACATATCGACTGAGGAACCACAGCATGCTGTGTATACTCTTATTTTGTTGCACATATCTGTACACCTTTGCACAAACCTATATACTAACATATATACTGTCAAATTCCATGTATATATGTAAAGTATATAGCTTATATACTGTATATATAGTAACCAATGATCTATCCTGTATTTATTCCATAGATTTTTCCAAAGGCTTTGCACTCAGCACCTTTTTACAAATAAATATAAATACACTATATATGTAGTTATTGTCTGTGTCATGTTGCTATTGTCCGTGTTGGCTATTCTGTTAATGCGTAGAGCGAAGAAAAAGATAGAGCCCAGTTCCTTGTATGGGTACCCATTATTGGACAATAAAAGGCTACTCTGACTGTCTAGCACTTTCTCTGACAATAATAATTCTCAGCATTGAAGCAGTTTCCATGTATTGAGCTCCTGCTGCTTAGTTGTTACGTGATTTGACAAGTTAAAGACAAGCTCGCATATTTGCCTCTGCATAGCTGTCACTGAACTCATTCTTTCAGTGCGTTAACACACGGTTAGCCACTGGTGACATGTCTAATGATCTGCTCTGCTGAAATTAAAATCTGCATCATGAATGCCTGACAAAGGGTGTGTTGAGGTTGTAAAGAAGCCCTCTCAATGCTTTTTCAACTAAAAGCAATGCCAGCTACAGTGACTTGCAAAAGTATTTGGCCCCCTTGAACTTTTCCACATTTTGTCACATTACAGCCACAAACATGAATCAATTTTATTGGAATTCCACGTGAAAGA